ATATTTGTTAGGAATTTTTCTTTCTGCCTACAGGCATTCCTGAACAAAAATCAAAAACTGAACGTTTTTCAGCCTTTTCCACACCAGGGAAATCCACACTAAAGCTAGTGGATTATTTTTTTTTTTTGGTGAGACAAAACTGAAAGTTTCTTTTTCTCATTATCAAAAATTCATAAACAGAATTGGAACTTGGGAATCAGTGAAATATGAATGGAACTCTTTGGTTACTGTTTTCTAGATTACATTATTTTTTGGTTGCATTAACTCTCTCTTGGGTTTTGTTTTCCTGCAGAAAGAAAATAATTTTATTGACTTTCTGGAGGATAATAAGATTATCATGAAGCATTTAGTGAAGTACTTGCCAAAGGACATTGACTTCCTGAATGCTAAGCTCTGATTGGCTCCATCACCCATGTGCCCCAGTGCACGGAGCTGTGCCTAGCAGGAGAGTTAGACTTTCTTTATTAAGAGTGCCTGGGGTTTTCTCAGAGCTGGGATTCTTCTGGCTGTAGCTTTGTATCTTTATTATAAAAAGTATTCTGAATATAGTTTAGAGACATAGCTCAGTAGTAGAATGACTGCCTCACATGCATGAGGTCCCCACTACTACCCAAGCCAAAAAATCATTCTGCATATTCCTGATAACAGCGTTATTTTAAAAAAAAAAGTCCTAGAGCTGTTCCCTGGGTATGTGTGTTTGTGGATAGAAAAACAGACAGATGGATGTTGGATGGATAGATGGATGATGGATAGATGGGTGGCTGGATGGATGGGTGGATGGATGGTAGTTAGATATCATTGTTATCTGGGTATATCAGACCTAAGATGCTGTGAAAACAACCTCCTGGATGGGTAATGTTTAATGGCAATATGTAATATGGTGCCTGTAAGAAGACGTGGATATGAGTGAAAATTTGCCTTAAAAACATAGGGCAAGGAGCTAAAGCGTAGCTCTATAGTTAAGAGCACTTATTGCTCTTCCAGAGGACCCAAGTTCAGATCTGGAGGCTCAGTACTACCTGTAAGTCCTACTCCAGGTGATCAGATGCCATCTTCTGGCCTCCAAGGGCACCTGCATACACAAAGCACACACGTAAATATTAAAGAAAGCAAAAAACACTCACAGTGCCCCACCTTTCCTAAGATTTTTAACCCTTAGACAATGATCAAGCAGAGCACATTGTGGCAGAGCTCGCAGGTGGCAAGTGAGTGCATTAGAATTTACAATGGATGGTTCGTAGTCGCTGCTCTGAGGGCTGAGTGCACAGCCTCACTCCACTCCAGCACATCAGAGTGCTCAGTAAGCATTTGCTGGATCGATGAGCCGATGAATATTCATAAATAATGACTGGTAATATACTCTTGCTATTGCTATGATTTTCCTGTCTTTAGAGTCAATACTCTCTACTACAGCATAGATTCACAAATTTATAAGTTCCAAGAATATCATGAAAAATATTGAACAATGTGAAAATGAGTAATGGGGATCAGGGCTGTATTTCAACAATTTTAGCAAATTCTAACATCAATTTATGCATAATGATGAGAAAAACTCAAACTTCTGTAAAAGGAGCTAGAGACCATAAAAGATAAATGAGTCTGAATATTTCTAAAGTCAGGGGAGATTATTAAACATGGTTGAAGTACATTGTTACCATCGAGGACCTGGTGGATTGATTCTAAAGGGGATTTTGTATGATAATGTTGATGCATGCCAACTCAGAAATTTCATGCTTGATTTTATCTATTCATGTCACAAACCATTAGCAAGTTCCCACTGGAAGGAAACGTGGGTAAATATCATACTTCTAAAAGTGAAAAATTTTAAGCATTCCCATTGCCAGGAGAAACATGAAGCCTCCTCACTCGTAGTGAAACCATGTGTTAGTGCTCCTTTTCTTTTGAACTGCGGAACAATTAAAGCAATTCCAAAGGATTACAAGAACCTGATTTCAGATAAGAGTTTGGATAAATGATTACAAGATAAATGTTCAAACAACCACTAAGAAATTAAACTGAAAGCCTTATTTGTAACCTCAATGGAAAGTGGAAATTTAACAAAATCTAGAAGCATTTAGAAATCTTTATTGTATAGAAAGGAATAGAATTTCATTCATATCCAGTGTAAAATTGTACAGTACACACACACACACTAAAAATGGACTGAGTTCCCAAGGCCCAGATGAAGAGCAGAAGGAGGGAGAACATTAGCAAGGAAGTCAGGACTGCGAGGGGTGCGTCCACCCACAGAGACAGAAACGGTGGAACTGATTTAATCAGAGCTCTCACCAGGGCCAGCTGGACTGGGACTGAACGAGCATGTGATAAAACCAAAGTCTCTGAATGTGTCTGACAATGAGGGCTGACTGAGAAGCCAATGATAACGGCACTGGGTTTTGATTCTACTGCATGTACTGGGTTTTTTTTGGGAGCCTAGTCTGTTTGGATGCTCACCTTCCTAGACTTGGATGGAGTGGGAGAGCCTTGGACTTCCCACAGGGCAGGGTACCCTGCCTTCTCTTAGGACTGGAGAAGGAGGGGAAGGGGAAGGAAGTGGGGGGGGGAGTGGAAGGGAAATGGGAGGATAGGAGGAGTTGGAATTAATAAATAAATAAATTTTTAAAAAGTCAGCCTTTTAAAACAATGGCAATTGAAACTTGGAAATGTAACAGAGAGAATGAGCAGCTGCTTGCTTTCTGGTTCTGATGGGTTAGCACTGCCAATCATTCGGGGAAAGAGAACAGTGCTTAAGGAAACTAGCAAATTTCAATGTGCTCTTCGGAGGGAATAGATAGAAAATATCATAAAAGAAAAGATGAGGGTACCCCTTTCTCCACAACCTCTCCAGCAAAGGATATCATTGGTGTTTTTGATTTTAGCCATTCTGACAGGTGTAAGATGATATCTCAAAGTTGTTTTGATTTGCATTTCCCTGATCGCTAAGGAGGTTGAGCATAACCTTAAGTGTCTTTTAGCCATTTGAATTTCTTCTGTTGAGAATTCTCTGTTCAGGTCAGTGCCCCATTTTTTAATTGGGTTAATTAGCATTTTAACGTCTAGTTTCTTGAGTTCTTTATATATTTTGGAGATCAGACCTTTGTCTGTTGCGGGGGTGGTGAAGATCTTCTCCCAGTCAGTGGGTTGCCTTTTTGTCTTAGTGAGTGTCCTTTGCTTTGCAGAAGCTTCTCAGTTTCAGTAGGTCCCATTTATTCAATGTTGCCCTTAATGTCTGTGCTGCTGGGGTTATACATAGGAAGCGATCGCCTGTGCCCATCTGTTGTAGGGTACTTCCCACTTTTTCTTCTATCAGGTTCAGTGTGTTCACACTGATATTGAGCAGAAGGAGGGAAAATTTGAGCAAAGAAGTCAGGACCACGAGGGGTGCACCCACCCACGGAGACAGTGGGGCTGATCTATTGTGAGCTCACCAAGGCCAGCTGGACTGCGACTGAAAAAGCATGGGATAAAACTGGACTCTCTGAATATGGCGGACAATGAGGGCTGCTGAGAAGCCAAGGACAATGCCACTGGGTTTTGATCCTACTTCATGTTCTGGCTTTGTGGGAGCCTAGCCAGTTTGGATGTCCACCTTCCTAGACCAGGATGGCGCGGGGAGGACTTTGGACTTTCCACAGGGCAGGGAACCCTGACTGCCCCTCAGACTGGAGAGGGAGGGGGAGAGGAGTGGGGGGGGGGGGGAGAGGAGAGGGAGGGGGGGGGAAAGGGGAGACGGGGAGGGAAATGGGAGGCGGGGAGGAGGCGGAAATATTTTTTTTTTCAATAAAAAATTATATTAAAAAAAGAAAAGATGAAAGCTTTAGGTTAGGGGTTCATTGTAGCATTAGAATACTAAAAATATGCTTCCAAGATCAAGCAACAAAATCAAAACAATCAGAAAAGATAAAACACCATAGAGTGAGATATAGTTCATATAAAACACTTAATCATTAAATACATAGTTATAGTGTACTGAAGTTTTCTAAGATAGCTTTTAGAGAAGTAAAAGTATATGGAGATAAAATAGAACTAAACATTGAAAATTGAGCCATAGTTTTCAAAATCCTTTACATAGAGGAGATGGGAAAAAGTGGGTGTGGCATGTTCAACCTTTGACATTCCAACATGATGTCATTTACAGAGTTCATGCTTCAGAACCAAACAAAGACATTATCAAAGGTAATCTCCTAATGTTCATTTGTGACATTGTGTTGGATTGCATGTGGACTACAGGTTGCACACACATATTCATAGGCAGCTTTGGACCTACCTCACTTTCTAGGTTTAATTTCTGAACATGTGCAAATACTTCAAATGATTTTGAACTACAGTTAATTTGTTTTAACATCATAATCTCTAAAAAATATAAAACAAAATAACCTTTATTTATTTATTATACGTGTGTCTGAATCTCTCTCACTGTGTGAGTCTCTGTCTCCATGTGTGTCTGTGTGTGTCTGTGTCTGTATGTCTCTGTGTGTATGTGTCTATGTTTGTCTCTGTCTGTATGTGTCTCTGTCTGTGTGTGTCTCTGTATCTCCCTCCTCTTTTCCCCAATGCTAAGATTGCAGATGTGTGACACTATGTTCAATTCTCTCTTCTCTCTCTCTCTCTCTCTCTCTCTCTCTCTCTCTCTCTCTTTCTCTCTCGTGTGAGTCACTGGGTTCATGACTCACAGCATTCATGAAGAAATCAGAGGACACTCAATAGGACCAAACTCAGTCACTCAGACTCAACAGCAGCACCTGCTGAGCTGTCTCACCAATGCAAAAAATTCTCAGAATATGATGATATTTTCTGTCTCACCAAGATAATGTCTTTTATACTTCCTAATAACTTCCAGATGTGAACTTAATATTTAAGAACTTAGTAGCTGGGTTTTATAAATTTTCATCTCACCCTTTCATAAACATACATCTGACAAACATACAGGACCCAATTATAAGTGAAGCTGGCTGATAGAGGGAGTGTTTCTCACTGTCTTTTCTTTTCCACTTCTCTAGGAAAATAAAGGAAAGTTTGGAGTGTTTCCCAGTTAAACTGAATAACCTGATCCACACTCTTGCACAGATGCCAGCCATAAGCCTTGCCAAACCAACTCCTCAGACTCTTTCCCAGGAATCCTACAACCTGCATAAAACCAGGACAATTCAGAGAGTCACAATATTAGGGCTCAGCAAGACACACAACCACGTAAGTTTAAATCTGCACCAACAGACTCTGCTACACATACCTTTCAAAGCATGGTGGGTTTTTACTATGCAAATTGAAAATCAGTTACAAGTGGAGAAGTGCCATTAAAGAGATGTTTTAAGAAAAATCATAACAACCGGAGCTATTAGTGGGAGAACCATCAGGAGGAACAGTTCCTACCCTGTGGTAGAATATAAATCAAGAGCTAATTAAAGTGTCTACAAGAAAGGACAGCAGAAATTAGGCAATGTTGAAAGAACATAAAATTATGGAACCCTCATACATTTTATTTATAGGTAATCGTGGCATTACAAATTACATCCTTCGGTTCTGATGATAATTTTTTAACAGATAGTTTTCCTCTTTGCTTAATTTACCTAAAAGCAGGTTTTAGGGTCTGTGGCAAGTTTAATCTCCATCTTTTGATTTTTGCCTGTTTATCTGCAGCTGTACCTGATCGAGGTGACCCTCAGTGACAAGAGGAAAAGCCTGACCCAAAAGTCATTCGAGCAGTTTTCCAGACTTCACAGCCAAATTCAGAAGCAATTCTCGTCGCTGCCTCTCCCAGAGTAAGGCTCTGTCCCCTCGCCAGCCATATTTGGCCTTCGGAGTTCATCCTTGAGCAGAGGGGAAAATGATGGCTAGGAGATTTCCTGTTTGGGAGCAGTGGCAGTGTCTGCTGCAGAGCTGCTCCCCGCCCACCCGCAGAGCCTGAGCGAAGAGCCCTTTGCAGCAAAGAGCAGAACAAAGTTGGCAATTTTCTTTCCAGCCATTGATTTTTGTAGATGGAAGAAAAAAAAATCAGAACCTCTTTCATTTTTCATCATTTATTGGGAAAAATTGTTTTATTTCCCTGTTTTAAAATTTAATCTCCTCAGTTGTTTTCTATAAAAATAGAATTGAAATTGAAAGTCAGAACTAAATCAACATGCCTACTCTTCTGGCAATAACTGAAATTTAAGAACTCATATATAAACACACATAGATACACATAAAGAAGAATGGGGGATTTCTGTTCTGAGGGGGGGTGTAATAATATCAATTGGTTCGTTCATAATTCACCTTGGCTTGTTCTTAAGCTGGGGTTTTCTTAACCAGTAATGACTCAACTTGCATTATCTAAATGTTATTTATTCCATGTACATTCTGAAGGAATTGCTGAGGTCATTCTGTAACAATGAAAAAGACTGAGCACAAGCTGACAGTAGCTCGATGAGAACAAGCAGTCATCTCATTTTAAATACTCGTTAATTAAAATGGGGAAAATTTGGGTCACACAGCAAAGCTGTAGTTTATCTTTAAAATTGTGAGTTCCCCAGAAATTAGGATATTGGCAGCCAGATAAACCGAATTTTGATTCCTTCCCTCGGCGCCAGGGTTTTTGTTGAGCGGGCCAACCTTTGAGGTTGTTCCTAACATGCCTTGCACATATGGATTTGTACTTATTCTTTGGTTTAATCACCTTGCAAAGCATACATACAAGTTGTCAATGGGTGAAGAGATACTTTGGAATATTGAAAACGTATGTTTGCTGTTGTCATAGGCATTTTGAAGCACGAACATTTTCAATACCTGTGAGATAAGACATTAGACAGCAGTTAAAGAACACGAGAGGCAAATGCATTCACTCTGGAAACTTATATGCATAGGTTTAGGTTTTGTTCTTCTAGTAGAATTGGAAAAAGGGAACCATGAACAAAGATCTGCAAACTTCAGTGGGAAAGTTCAATATCGAGGCTTGTCATCATATCCAGTAACAGTCACCGTAACAATATACATTAACCTCTGTTAAAGGCTGCCTCCTCAGGCCTCTTGGATGCTGTGGAGAACTTCAGAAGTGCGAGCACCTCTTTCCACATGCCTCTTCTCAATTTGCAGCCTTAGTTAAGATTCTGTTCTGCACATGGCTGTTGCCTGGCAATGAAGCTAAATTGATATTCAAACCATTTAAGGAACCCACTGAGGGAGGGACATTTAGCCTTGTGTGCTCTGAGCAGCTCCTGTGGGCTGCCACTCCCACAGGGGCCAAGACTGGAGATCATACATATGGATGAAGAAGACGGCAAGATTTCTTCTGACTGCTACATTCACTGAGGGAAGCCCTAAGAGACTTCCGCAAAGCCCATCTGAGAAAAAAATCAGAAAGTCAGAGTCAGGAAGGATGGAAATCTATTTAGTCATAACCTGCAATAGAGGTTTTCTAACTGAGCCATTTGTACTTCTGGTGCCTTCCAGGAGTGCACAAACATGGAGATTTTCTTAGAAAGAATGACTTAAACTCATCTGCTGGAGGAGACTCCTCTCCCTCTTCCTTCTTTCCTCTCAGCATCAAAACTTGGCTGTGTGTTCTCCCAGGATGAAAACACACACACATACACACACACACCACACAGGACTAGACCAAAGGGAAAAGAAAACCCTGGTGTTAGTATCGAGGAAATGAATTATTCTAATTATTATAACAACTCTATTTTCAAATCAGGACTTAAACACACACACAAAATGTAAAAGCTGTTTTCTTTTGCTTGCTTTTCACCTTAACTAAATTGAAAGAGAATATGACAATGGTGTCAGGTAAAACAGCATAAAATTACTTTTCAGTAACTGCTGTCAATGTGCATATGGTAGATGAGCTTTATATGGATTGGATGGTACTAGTATGGCCCAGTTCCTAAATTCTGTGCACAGAATTATACTTAGAATTTTCAGTATCTATAAAATGTCAGAAAAGATTGAATTGCTTCATTATACCAATATGGAAGTTTTGCACATAGACATATGAATTATATTTAAAACTAACTAAAGCAGTCAAGTTGCCAAGATCATTTCCAAAACTGCCACCATATGTATGTGTGTAATTTATTTTTTATATTATAGACTAATTATATATGGATACTAATTTTTGTAACTAATTCCAGATGAAAAAAATCTTAATAATTCAATCCTTAGATTGATAAACTATTTTAAAATATAAAGTATTACCTAGTTACTAGGTAATAAATTAAATATATACATTTATCCATACTGCACTTTCATGACTTTTTTTTAGCAAGTAACAGGGATGCCAGGTGATGGTGGTGCACACCTTTAATCTTAGCACTCAGGAGGCAGAGGCAGGTGGATCTCTGAGTTGCAGGCTAGTCTGGTCTACAGAGTGAGCTCCAGGACATCCAAGGTGACACAGAGAAACCCTGTCTCAAAAAATGAACAAAAATAAGCAGCAGGCTTGAACTCCTAACTTGAAGTCACCACCTGCCTCTGGTGCTTGCTGAGAAAGTTTCACAACCCCTCTCAGTTCTTCTAGGAAGCACTGCAGGCAGGCCTTCATCTGCACAAAAAAGCAGAAGCATAGGTACAGGAAACAGTAAGTTTCTGAAAAGATACAATTAAGCATAAAAATATGTTACCAGATGGGACCACTAACAGGTCATCCCAATAAAAGACTAGTCTTAAGCGCAACTCACCAAAACGGTCTTCAGGTAGATGACAGAGAGTCTTCTAGTCAAAGTCAGGGTGGATTTGACTCACAAGAGCAAGACCAGATGGAAGCAGATGCTTCTAGATGAAATTTCTAATTTATATCATGCAATAATGTCTGCCAAGAGCCCATAAGTAACAAGACAACCAGAACTCTTTGAAAAACTGTAAGACATTAATTTCAGAAACTTTGTATTAGCCCCTACATGTACTGGGTGGAAACATTTGTGGTCTGCCATAAATACAGTAATAAAGATCACATCAAATTAATTTAACATTAAATTAAATTAGTGTTGATATCAGTGCTGATTCAAGTAGCACAAATGACCACAGTTGCGTCTATAAAATGGCCATGATTAATCATGTATATCCTGACTCTTTCTAATGCTGTTATTGGCCCTACACGGGTGTAGCTGTTAACTTTGTGACCAGCTCAAAAGAGCTACTTTTCATACTGACTGAAGTATCCTTTCTTTTCAAACAGGTTTCCTCACTGGTGGCACTTACCGTTCACAGATTCGGATCACAAGAGAATCAGAGATCTAAGTCATTACGTGGAACAGATGCTGAGCCGGTCTTACGAAGTCGCGAATGTAGGTGACAACGTTTTTCTTTCCACTTTGATGCCAAGGTCAACTATTGGCTTATTGTTACCAAAAGTAGTTTTAAATGTATCAGCATGCTATAGTTTCTTCACTCAACAACCATGTAGGTCTAACATGTCTGAACTCCATGAAATGAAGTCCAGAGCCCCAGTTTCACACCGCCTAGATGATGCAATGTGAGCTAGAAGGACCACAAAATTCTTTGATGCTCTAGAGTGTCAGAAGCGTTGATTTCTTCTGGATTTGATACAAAAATTATGGATTTGGAGACAGACAGTATTTTTCAGGCTTTTAACTTGGGGTGGGATTTCAGTTGTTCTACTGTAAAGTCCTAAGGAGGAACAAAGCCACAGAGGGATCATGGGTAAGGAAAACCATGTTACTCTACTAGGTTCCCATTGAGATTTTGACAAAGTATGGCAGTAAAGTGGCTTGAAGCAACACAAGTCTATTTTCTTTCAGTTTTTGAACTCAGAAATCGAATATGGGACTTTAGGAACTGGAATCAAGTTATTGACAGACCTGCTCCTTCTGAAATATCCCATCTTCAAGAAAAAAGGTTCTCCACCTGTGGGTCATGACCTCATTGGGGGTTGCATACCGGATATTTACATGATGATTAATAACAGTAGCAATTTTACAGTTATGAAGTAGCAAACACAACATGAGGAACTATATTAAAGAGTTACAGTATTAAGAAGGTTGAGAACTTCTAAATGATCTCTTCCAGCAATACATTGGCACATTCTGAACTCAGTTTCCCCCATCACACATTCCTGTCTGCCTCTAACTGTCCTTGTGCCTCTACTAGAAAAATGTTATTCATTAGACTATGCAAGCCTGAACTACACAGGACAATCATACCATATCAATACCTTCAGTTTAAATATATCTACAAAGGTTCTTTTGCTGTTTAAACATTATATAAATTAGACCATATGCACATCTGCTTGGAGGTGATACTTGTTCTACTGATAGTAGAGATGAATGGAAGGGTATAAAGATTAAATTACTTTGGATCTTAATATGGAGAAGAGAGAGAAAGAGAGGAAATGTTCCAGGTGTGGTGGATAATTTTGCTAACAGAAATATGAATCTGCTGTATGACAAAACTTTTCCTGGGGTGACGCAACCTACACATCTACTCTCTCCAGATTTAAAAGAAAAAAAAAGCTTCCACAATGGGTCAAAGTACAGATACCACCAAATCCAGCTTGGTGAATACTGAGTTCCAATGGGGTTACTTACAGGAATATGGATGAGGGATTACTTACAGGAGCAGAAATAAATCAAAGACTGTTGTAACACCAAAGCCCACCCCAGCATGAGTGGTAGCTCCCAATGCTGGGAACCTAGAGCACACTACACAGCTTCAGACAGCTCAGACTGTGCTTTCTAGATACCCCATTGGTCTGAACTGCTTTCAGGTTGCTCAGCTGGTTTTGGTTCTTCCCATCCATCAGCTGGTCTGGTCTCAGAGTCTTCTTTGCAGCTCTTTCCTTCAGTATGAGAAGACTCTAAGCTTTTACTGCTTGCTGTGGTGGAGCCAGGAGGGGAGCTAGTGAATCCATTCAGCTTCAGGGACTTCCGAAAGCTATTTAGAGTAGTTTACTTTCATTCTAAAGGAGATTTCTGAAGAATGGAATATTTTAATCTCTGGATGGGGGGATCTGTTATACAACAGTACCTTTTTTCTGTAACAAGTCCTTCATCTTAAGGTAGCAAGTCTTTCTCTGTCCTACCAGCAAGCTCCAAAATAACCACATAAAGAATTATTTTTAATTTTGGAACCTTGGCCAATAGCTCAGACTTATTTCTAACTAGCTCTTATAACTTAAATTAACCTATTTCTATTCATTTGCATGCTGCCACTTGGCTCATGGCTTGTTACCTCGTCTCTCCAAATGTTATGTTCTATGGCGTCTGGCTGGTGACTCTGCCTTCTTCCCAGCCTTCTCTCTGCCCCCAAAATCATGCCTAGCTTTTGGCCATTTAGCTTTTTATTAAACCAGTCACAGTGGCATAGCTTCACAAACTGTAAAGGAATATTACACAGTATTTCACCATTTTTGTTTAAATAAAAAGCAAAGTTTTTAACTCTAATATATTAAAACTGTAAACAATAGAATAATTATCAGGTAAAAATTTCATTTGCAATGTCCAGTCCATTTTTATTTGGCATATTTGGGAAAACACTCCATTATTTATTCTATCTTTTTATTTATTTATTTATTTATTTATTTGTTAAAGATTTCTGCCTCCTCCCCGCCACCGCCTCCCATTTTCCTTCCCCTCCCCCTATCAATTCCCCCTCCCTCTTCTTCCCTAAGAGCAATCAGGGTTCCCTGCCCTGTGGGAAGTCCAAGGACCACCCACCTCCATCCAGGTCTAGTAAGGTGAGCATCCAAACTGTCTAGGCTCCCACAAAACCAATAGGTGCAGTAGGATCAAAAACCCATTGCCATTGCTCTTGAGTTCTCAGTAGTCCTCATTGTCTGCTATGCTCAGCAATTCCAGTTTTATCCCATGCTTTTTCAGACCCAGGCCAGCTGGCCTTGGTGAGTTCCCAATAGAACATCCCCATTGTCTCAGTGTGTGGGTGCACCCCTCGCGGTCCTGAGTTCCTTGCTCGTGCTCTCTCTCCTTCTGCTCCTGATTTGGACCTTGAGATTTCAGTCCGGTGCTCCAATGTGGGTCTCCGTCTCTGTCTCCTTTCATTGCCTGATGAAGGTTAATATTCAGGAGGTCAATGTCCTTTATTTATGGCTAGAAACCAAATATGAGTGAGTATCTCCCATGTTCCTCTTTTTTGGGTCTGGCTTACCTCACGAAGGATAGTGTTTCCTATTTCTGTCCATTTGCATGCAAAATTCAAGAAGTCATTGTTTTTTACTGCTGAGTAGTACTCTAATATGAATGAGTACAAAGCTCAGTACCTGATTTACCTTCTATTATAACAAAGGAAAACTGCAACTATAACTACCTACTCTTCAATTCCATTAAATACCCCGGAAGAACATAATAAGTGCTTGAGTAAACAGGAAGTGCAGGGCAAGCAACTTTCAAAACTATAAGAAATGACAGAAATAGTTGGACAGTCACCCAAACTCTTCTGTAGCATAGAGGCATTCATCTTCGGTTTATAGGCCTAAAATATCTAACAGACTTTCCTGTGAAGCAGGAATTTATGAAGAATGGTCTTAGTCCTTCTTGACAAAGTTTGATAGTCACTTTTTTGTGTCCTGCTTGTCTGGTTTGTGCAGTGTACTATCATCAGTCCAGGCAAGACCAATGTTGTACCCAAATGACTAACTTTTCCACAAGGAAAGTAAACTCCATATGGAGTTTTTTTCGACACCTATTATCCTTTTATGAAATGATTGATGTTGCCAAAATATATATGTATCACCATCACAAAAAGCCTTGTTATTATAACATTTTAAATACTATATTCTGTAAGTCTTTGAAGTGTTTGAAGATCACATATCTATCTCAAATATAGCTTTGCATGACCTTAAAAACATACCTACCATGACTATAAGTTTGATTCTCATAGATGACTATATTTTCCCAAATAGCTTTCAAGGACTAAAATTTTACATTTTTAAATGAGATACATAGGTACAATACCACAAACAAGAAATAGAAATATATAATACAGTGTAACAAAAATAACCTTAAATTTGTATTACATACAAAATTTCATACCAGTGTAAAATATTTGAGAAAAGTGTTTGTTCAAAAGTAGATTCAACAATCTACCATTTTATCCTATCATTTCTATATTATATACCTCACTTTCTCTTTTAGAAAGAGATCTTTGAATCTAATCTCATTTGTTCAGTTTTTTTCTGATTGTGACCAATAACAACTTGTAACCAACACTCCTTAATGATGGTAAACATCCATAACCCATCAAATGACTAAAAGCCATCTACTCTACCTCTTGGGAATGTGGTTGTCATAGACTCTAGACTGTTCCCTATTGTATGGGGACACCACTATCTTTAGGGGGCCCTGGGAAAAACAGGGTAAGGGTCAAGTCCTGGGAGAGCTGTTGTCTTGCCTCAGTTCCAAAATATCCTAAAACTCCTGTGTAACAGTCAAGGAACTGTCATTTTGGTTACAGTTTCTATGACCCAACAATTTCCATTGTTTTACTTGAATCATTTTGTATATTCTATTTTAATCATAACACTTACAAGTAACACACAAATGAATTTTGTATTATACATAGAATACAATCTTTGCCTTTTAGTTGGAATGCTCAGCTATGTACATCTGCTGTTGTTGGGCGCATTCGTGAGTGTGCTGTACGTACGCGTCTATGTGGGTGCATTTATGTGTACATCTAGGTCTATTATCTTACAAGTGCTTTCTTTAAGATGCTCCTGATGTATTTTTTTTCTTTCTTCTACTCTTAAAATCCATTGTTGATAATTCAGCTCTGTCTTCAGAGTGTTATACTGATTAATGGGAGAATTTCCACACAGATTAAAGCATGTGTTTCTAGTGTTTTAAGGACAACATTTGCATTTTTCTTAAATTTCTCAGTGATGTGAAACCCTAAAGCAGCCTGATTAACCCATTTGTATGTCACACACCATGCTAATAAGACATGTTAATTTCTTTCTTCCTTGTCTGTTTTTAACATCTTTGCTCTTCCAGACGTCTTTATACTATCTTCAGATTCAATGCTGCTTCTCTTTCTCATAAGTACGCTTCAGGGCTTCCTATTTTGTACCGATGGTGATTCAGCACTGTTGGCTCTCTGATCCTTTGAAGCCAAGTTTAGAAATCACATGTCTAGCTCTTTCAGTCACTCTCTGAAGAATAGGAGTGAAGTGACCTAACCGAATAGGGATGGTGTGACCTAACCTACTGTCACCATGAGAGTCTAGCACTATAATCACATCCTGATCACAGTTTCTAAAATGTCTGCCATGTCAGATGTGCCTGCCCACTTCCCACCCAGCCCTTACCCTGTC